TCCTATTATTATACCGAAGAATTCCTTTGATCCTCATAATTTTAAGAATGCAGCCTTTCGATCATGGATAAAGCGGGCCTATACCCATTGTACGAGTATGGTTGACACACACAGAGAATTAAATAACATACGTACAATAGCTGTACAACAGGGATATCGTATAAGTGAAATTAATGCTCTTATTGATAAATTTTGTAATCAAACAAATATGCAACCTACAACTAAGAATCAAGGACGAAGAGTAGTTCTCAACTATATTCCTTTCCTTCAATCGATGATTAAAAAAGTATCTCAAAAGAATAATTTAAGAGTTACCTATCGTCGTAATCCGACGATTTATAGAATTTTACGAAATGACAAGAAGAAAGGAAACAGTTACAATACTACAGGAGTTTATTCTATTCCATTAAGTGATCGCCGTTTTAATTCAGAGCTAGTTTACGTTGGTGCCACCATGAGACTTTTAAAACAGAGGATTAAAGAACATAAATATTCTATTACTAAAAACGTGGACAGCACCGTCCTTGCAGCCTTTGCTAAACATCAAGATATTAATGTACATTGGGACAAAGCATCTATAATTAGGACAGCCACCAACAAACAAGTCCTTAAACATATTGAAAAACTTGAAATTTACAAGGCGCATATCAACAAAGGATGCATCAACCATAGAGACGCAGAAAGTCTATCCTGCGCATGGAAATCTTTTTACCATGACGATTAATTTTTATTTTTTAATTTATTTTAATTTAATTTCATTCGTTACCACGATTAATTTCTTAATATTTATTTATTTTTATGTTTTATTTACGTTTTACGTAATTAATTTTAATTTTTTAAACCGTTGTATAGCTTACATTCTATTTTACGTTCGTTTTCCGTTTTAAAGTTCTTAACTGATGAAGACTATTAAATATAGTCGAAAACGTTTTTAAATTTATTAAATACGTTGCTGGAAATAGTAAGGTGGTTTGATTATTTTAAATTCAATAAAAGCAGAATTTTAAGTAATTATCTTATTTACTTGGCTAACACTTATTTACATGCATGCCAGTGCATGCCAGATAGTGTGCATGCCAGGCTAGATGGCCAGGTTTCAGCAGCCTAAGACTTTCACAATCAGCACAATGACTGTCCTTATGGCCAGTCAAATGAAGCAAAGAATTTAGCTTTCCTCAATCTAAATATGAATGCAGAGCAAGTGGAAGCTTTGTGGTATTTGTTACAAAAATGTAAATTGGGGAAAAACTGAAAAAAACGATAGTGAGGGCATTTCTTTATTGCAAACTAGCTGTGTTTTTCTTTAAATAGGATTTTTATGAAGGTTTGAGGCAGCAGAATAGAAGTTTTTTAACTATACACAAATGAGTATAAGGTTTTTTGATAAGCTATTATTAAGAAGCTATTATTGTAAGCAACTTTTTAAAAGGTTGTGATACAAATGAGAAAGAGTATCACTTACAAGCAGAACTGTAGATGACTTTGAAGTATATGAAATAATATAATGAGTCTTTTTAATCGTACGTTTTTATTTTGTTGTTATAAAGCATAAAAAAATATAAATTTTAAAAATTAAAACTATTTCACTCAAGTGAAAAAACATTTAAAAAAAAAAGAAATAATGTGAGTAGAAAAAATATAAAATTAATTTAAAAAGTTCTAATAATTCAGAACGATAAGTATCAGCTGAATTGTTTGATTTGTACTGAGAGACAACATCCTGGCCATTGTTCAATCTTACTAGAGCTTACATTCTTGTATAATTGAGATGAAAGTTTTTCAAACTGTCTTTTCTCTTCCAATTTATATGCTATCTCGTGTGAACCTGATGATGACATTTTAAAATTGTCAAAAACATTTGTTTTCTTCTAATAAAGTAAATTTTTGCTGGATTTTAGTGGTTATTATGTGTTTTCTGTGTATTGCATTTAGTTGTAAATGATAGTGTTTGAGAAGAAAGTTTTGAAACATCTGTTAATTGCTTCAAATAGTAGTATGAATGAAGAGGAAGTGATAATGATGCAGTGAATGACTGAAACAAATCATAATTGAAATGTAGCATCAGACTTTGTGGTGGCTGGTTTGTATTTTCTTAGAGAGGTTTATGGTGTGATACAAATCTAGAATTTCTTTGAATTAGCATCAATAATTCCATTTAAATTGAATTATTTCATGCTTTTGGAAAATTTTAGGGAAGAAAATAGAGACAATAATAATTTATTTTTATCTTACTCAACTCTCTCTTTCATCTTTGTTCTGTAATGAAGACCATAAGATGGCAATTAATTCTTCATCTTGATTTAGTTTTTTCTTATTTTCTATCTTCCTGTTTGTTATCTTTTCTTGTTTATCATATGGTATATTTTACCCTTTTTGAATGATGGATTCTGCAATCTGTTGTGCTTTAGATTTTGTAGTGGTGACAGCATAGGAACACTTATTTAGAAATGCCAACTGGTTGGTTGGTGTAAATATATAAAGTTTTGTGATCAGTAGATGCACCAGACTTGAATTTTTTCGTAATTATTAGTTTCCTGGTGTAGCTACTCTCTTCATTTCTTTAGAAAAATATTTGTCCTGATACAAACATTTAATAATGTTGTTTTAATTGCAAATATCTTGCAACAGGCTGCTCTTTTGCTGATTCTCACTATGTCTATACTATAAATTGGAACTACCATAAGAAAAATAGCAGAACAAGTCTACTCAGCAATTAGCAAGAATTAAAGGATCTTGTTATGCAGGAATGATTGAAAGAAAAATGGTTTGGGATAGCTGAAGGTTTAAGAAACCATGCAAACTTTTTAAACTTTATCAGTGACATTGATATAGTTTGAAAAGCATATCAGTCATCAAACAAAGTCATTCAGGTTTAGTGAACTACATCTACAAATATTTTTTTCAGCTGTTTTATTAACACTGTATGATGATGATTACAAGTTTGATGATGATTACTATATATGGGTAGGAAAGTGATTCAATAATTTTTAAAGATTTTTTGTTTTACAAAGCATTGTGGATTAAAGGCTTTTATTTATTTCAAAATAGTATATTTTATTTCTTTCTAAAAACCAAACAAACTTTTGGTTCAACCCAATACATCTAGATTGTTTGTTTTTTGTTGGAAATATACTGTTTAAAATATTAATAAGTAAATTATTTATAAATAGAAGAAATAATATTTATTTTGCATTTATTATTTTTTTCATCAGAAAGTTTTCTGCTAAAATGGTCCACAAATTTTTTTCCAGCTTTTCTTTTTCACATCTTTATTGCTATAGCTTTCAACGGTCATTTTCCATACAGTTGATCTCTTCAATTTTAAGCTTAGATCAAAGTTTTTACACTTATTGAACACTGTAAAAACACTCACACAACTCTGAAAATCAAAACAAATCAAGCAAACTATTGCTGCTCTTGACATCTTAACAATGCAGTATTTTGTACTGAATTATGGGAATTTTGATGGTCATGACTACCAGTTGATCAGCTGTGAAACACTGCAGTTTTTGATTGCCGCTGCAACCAAGTGGTCACAGCAGCCAAGTATGACTCTGCATGCTCTCAATTGAGGGCATGCCCTCAATAAAGAGCATGCAGAGTCATCAATTACAACCTAGTTACTTAGTGCACACAAACCCTTAATTAATGTCATCCATCACCTGTAGATGTCGTCATCATACAGGTGAGTCACAATGATTACAATAAGTGGACTAAGATTTGAATTTTCAGTTCAACTTCAAACAAAATTAATTTAGCAAGCTATAGAATTAAATAATTTGGCAAAAAATATATATTTATAAAAGCTCAAAACAAAAATTTATTTGCACATTCTGAACTATTTGTAGCACTTAAATACTACTGTAGATACTATATTATAAGTAATATATTATAATTATTCAGATGTCTTTTGTAAAAATCCATTCCTATTTTATATTTACTAATTTATTGTTTATATTTATACATATTACTGAAATTTTTTTATTGGTTTTTCAATGAGAATTTAATTAAGTTAGTATGTAATTTAATATACAGGAAGACAACATTTATCAGCTTATCTTTTAGATGTATCTAAATTCTTAATTAATTAATAATTTTAATTATTAAAATATTTATGAATTGGTAATGTGTAATTAATTTATCTTCTAACTTAAAAATAACTCATGAAAATTAATATTATCTTATTCATTTTTGGTATGTGTGTTTCAGTTAAAACATATATCTAAATTTTTAATTATGAAAATATTTTTTATAATATGCAATCTCATTTTATTTTGCAAAAGTTATGAAAAAAATTCATAAATATTTAACTTTTTGTTTATATAATTTAGTATAATTTTAAAATAAAATACATGCAATTGTCACTTAATAGTCTTTAATTCAATTTTCAGAACAACGCCAAGATTTATGTCCAGTGACAACTCAGAATAATGCGTTTCCTATAGGAATTAGTATTTCTCAAAGTACATCTCAAGATCTTACAAAAGCTCAATTAGCAGATAACTTGCAACGTTCTGGTAAAAAGAAAAGCTTTTTTGTATCGTTAATTTTGAAATAATTATCTGAAGTATTTGTTTAAACAAATAGAAATTAATTTGAAAAAGTTTTACATTAGATAAGAACTTGATCTAATGTTTAGAATACAAAATTGAAAGGTTAAGGAATATGATTTTATTATTTTGTTTAATTTTATTTAATTAAAGTAATTATAGGAGGCTTTGCTTTTAAGAAATTAATCAATTTTTTTATATTCTTTTAATAAGCTGTATTCCATCTTTAGAATATTATTTTTAAAGAAATGGAACATCATTTTTAAATACTTATATGATATTGTGACATTTTAAATTTAGTTATATTCTTTTAATAAAATGCACATTATTATATATTGATAGAATAATAATAATAAATTTAAAAACACTCAGTAACAATATAGAATAAGCTTAGAGATAAAAGAAAGGCAAAACTGAAGAAAAAAGTTTAAGTTTTATTATAAAATAAATCTAAAGTAAAAACTAATATAATTATTGTTAATAAATAATAAAATAAAAATTAATATACCCATAATTACTTTTATTTTATTATATTTAAATTTGAACATATCAGATTTTAAAGTTTTATGATGAAACATAAATTTAAAATACAAAATGGATTATAATGTCTTTAAACAAAAATCTACAGAAAAGAAAATTCTATAATATCTTCAAACTACAACTTATATTTTCTTTTTACAATTTATATTTATACTTTCTCAATTTGTCTTTATATTTTCTTATTGAATTGTTCAATACCATTATTTTGTTTTATCAGTTTTTGAATATTTATAGTTTGGATGTACAGGTATACCTTGAGTTACATTATTCTCTATTATACATCGTTTGTCAAAAAAATATATGGAAAAATAAAAATCAAGTTTAAGTCATTTTATTCGACTTTAGGTCTGTCCGCCACAAATATTGAAATCATAATATCACTAGAAAAGTGTTAAAAGCACATAAAATCATATTAAAATACATTTACAGTAAATGTTAATATAATCATTATAAATCTTAGAGAACGAAATATGAAAACATCTGTGACTCTGTGTTGTCTTATTTAATGATCTTTAAGAGCTCAATATTGGCATTTTCCAGGGTAGTTCCAATATCTACTGTTTGGCATTGTTGTCAGCGCTACTCGATATTGGTAAATTTAACAAAAATTAGTTTATTTTTTACTATCGCCAAATAATTTTAATAACTGTATTTGTTATTTAACCTTAAACCTTATACAAAATCATCTTATTTTATAATGTCTTAGAGGAAACCACACTCACAAATAAAGAGTCCGTGATGTACTGTAATCATCGCCAAATTGTAAATATGTATATTTACAAGTATGTATGTACCATACTTGTATTCGTAAATTTAGATTTTTTTTTTCCTGTACTATATTAAAAACTAAAATTTATTTGTTTTTAAGCTGAAAATAGATTCTTATTAACAATATATTATTAAAAATGCATTTATACATAAAATACAGAACTGGGAATGGTTATTTGTGATTTAGCCTAGTGACAAGCAAATTAGACTTATGTTGTTTTTCAATTTAAGTCACTTTTCCTGGAACCAATTACCGATGTAAGGTGAGGTATACCTGTATTATTGTAATATTTTGTCATTTATTTTCATTGTTTATCAAATATTTTGCTTGTTTATGCTATATGATATTTCCTGTCATATTTTACATTTATCATTTTATTGTTGAACAAAATTTATTGTTGTTTGTATATAGATATATTGCGACTGATTTAATATACTATTCCTGTTTTTATTTTTATGTCGTTAACCTAATTTTCATATGAACTATGCACATCTGTATTGATTAATATAAAAATTTGAATATTCAATGGTTTGTGTAAATTAGGTATAAAATATAGTAACAATACTGATGTTGCAAAAGTAGGAAACACACATGACTTCTTATACAAATGACACTTAACACAGATTATAAAGATATGGCTTTATTCTGTTTGGCACAGAGTCCAATTGTTTTTCCTTATCCTCACACTCAAGCTTTCTTTTCTTGCCACATGATCTGTTACATCTGTTCAGCTCACAATATTGGAAAAACAAAAACATATGTTTTGTGAACCAAACATCCTCTAGTGCTCCAATCTGTATGTGCTAGTGGAGAGTGGACACAAACATATGTGATTTTAAAAATATATAAAGATTTATTGGTAAATATCAATTTATGTATGCAGTTAGTTCTTTTCTTGGAAATATTCATTTTGAAGAAAATATTCTAATTTCTATAGATGCATGAATACATTTATAGATATGAGATTTAAATAATTATCTTTGATTCACTCCATATATTTTTAACTTATAGTATTTGAGTGCTAAATTACTTTAATTTTGCTTCAGAAGTTAAAAGATTAGATATGTTATGCTAAATATTTTTCATCAGCATTTTTTCAAATGTAATTTGATTACAATACTTTTAATAATTTTTGTTATAACAGTTCTTGTTGAGCTAATTTATGTCAAATGCTAAATATATGTTTTGTTTAATTTACATGTAGGTTTCCTTTGAAATTCAGAAAGAAATTTTAAGAAACTCTGGTATATGTATTTTAGTTCAAAACACATATATCATAATATTATTTACATTTTTTTAGAATTCACTTCACTGCATCTTTCCTCTTTTCTTCCTTGTATTTTTTTTATTCATACTTAGTGAATATAAGAAGATGAATTACACTTCATGCCTACGTTTAACTAAGTAAAATGAATATGCTTAAGTGTATTCATTTTATTTAGTGAATATAATAATAATAGTAATATTAATTCCATACTGCATTTCCTGAGCAGATAAATTATAAATAGTCCAGTCCAAATTTTTAAAATTTAATTTTATAACATTGATATCTTTCTAAAGATTTTACACAATGTAAAATGATTTTATTCTTAAATACAATATACTAACATGCTTTAGTTTACTAAATATGGTGAAAAGAATTATTTGCAATAGATAATCGTATATGTTTCAACTGATTTCTTATGATAATTTTTTAGTATTTAAATTAATTCAGGAATATTTTCACACACTATTTATTGAAATACTGAATATGTTAAATAGATTGCTTTTGCATGTTATTAATTTATGCATAATTATAAGAACTTTATGCGTGTGTATATGTTACTGTGAAAGACCGAAATTAGAGAACGTCAATATTCTCTGGTGAATGTCGACACATACAAAATACAACGGTGAAAGATCGAATATTTGGTTATATTATTATACATTCGAACAATCGCTGGTGTATGTCGACAAGTACAGATAAGCTTTAGTGGCAGTCGAAATGACACTAGAGAAGCTGATGTCGACAGAAAGGAGACAGTCTGTCACCAAATTCTTTGTTCTGCCACGATTGAAATTACATGGTATCTATTTGTTATACTCTGGAATATTGCTGTTTGTCAGTCTTATGTGAGGTTTGGTAGTGCGTGCAACGTTTTCTTAAATTTTATTTTTTTTTATCCGATACCCTAATTTATATTGAATGGATACTGCAGTGAGCCAATAAGTTTTTTCCTTGTTTTGAAAAGTTACGTGAATTAATTGCAAGTAAATGAGAAGACAATTGTTTTTATTTTTCTCAAGAAAAGTACTCTAAAGTACTTTCTAAAGTGATTTCTGCTAAAACTAAGTGCAGCACACCTTTGGATTACAAACAATTAAAACGTTTTGATGTTTTAAAAATTAATGATGAAGAGAAATTAATTGTACCATTAAAACCAGGAGAAACGAATATACAGTATTATGTTACCAATGATAAATTGTTCAGTATACTATCTGAAACTCACAGCAGAACAGGCCATGGAGGAAGAACGCATATGCTTAAAGAATTGCAACTTAAATACAAAAATATTAGATATGAAGTTGTAATGTTGTATTTAAATTTATGTAAACAATGTCAAATGAAACATACTGCACCTAAAAAAGGTGTTGTTGTGAAACCAATGGTCAGTTCGGAGTTAAACTCAAGATATCAAGTTGATCTGATAGACCTGTAGTCACACAAGGATGGCGAAAAGTTCATAATGGTGTATCAAGATCATTTAACGAAATTTGTCCAGTTACTACCTTTGAAAACTAAGACAGCTAAAGAAGTAGCATATCACCTTCAAATATTTTTAACATTTGGTGCCCCAGCTATATTGCATTCAGATAATGGTAGGGAATTCTGCAATAAAGTCATATCCGAACTATGCGCCATGTGGAAAGATGTTAAGATAGTTCATGGAAAGCCTCGTCATAATCAAACACAAGGCTCAGTTGAAAGGGTCAATCAGGATATACAGAATATGTTAACTGCATGGATAAACGATAACGATACAAATAAATGGTCAGACGGTTTGCCCTTTGTACAATTTGCCAAGAACACTACATATCACGGAGGAATATGCCAAAGTCCTTATGAAGCCATGTATGGTGTTAAACCAAAAAGAGTCATAGCATCTTCATCTTTGCCTGGCGAACAAATTTCAAATATTGAAACCGAAGAACAGCTCGAAGAAATTGTTAATACTTTTGAAAGAAATTTGAGCAGTGGCCATAACGAATACCATATTCCAAAGGAAAATATTGAAGAGGAGCTGCAACCCACCACGTCTTCATGTCAAGCCCTGACCAAACAACATGAATTTATTTCTATAAAAAGAGGGGCCGCGAAAGAGAATATTCTACAACAAGCAACAAAAATGTTACAAACCTAAAAATGAAAATTTCCTCCTGCTCAAATTGGTGATACTGTACAAATACAAGTCCCTGATGTCAACCATGGCCGTACAGATGCCCAAAATATGTTGATGGTTGTTGTTGTTGGAATAGAAGACTTCGACTTTTATAAATTAGCAAACAAAAAAGGTACCCTCAAGCAGCTTTATACCTGGAATCAGTTTGTAATTTATAAAGAAAAGTTACTTTCAATAGATGAGATTTCTTCTCAAGAAATGTCGCTGAGAGAAGCAGCTGCAGATAATTCGAAAAGTGGAGGGCAAGGCTATACATGCCGTCATTGCAAAAAGAAGTGTTTTACAAATAAATGCAGTTGTAAAAGCAAGGGACTCTTGTGAAATTCAAAGTGTAACAACAGTTTAAGTTATTGCAATAAATAAGATTGTATAACGTTAATCACATAATATATGTGTAAGTTTACTACTGTGTATTATTTTTCTTTTCTGATTAAGAATGCACTGTTCATTTTAGGTTCAACAGTTTATTTACATGTGCTGTTACTCAAGCTTTCTCCTATTTTTACATATTAAAAAGTTGCATTTTTGTCTTAACGTAATAAAAATATTTATATTTAACATTCACTATCAGTGCATGCTGAATGTCGACATTTGTCAGTGTAAGTGAGAAATAGTGATATTTAGCAAATATTTCGTACATATGCAAAACGACTGTGTGAATGCTGACATTCACTGGAGAATCTTGACATTTGCCAGATATTGGTCTTTCACAGTAACATATACACACAAACAAACACATTTAAACACAAATACACATACATATAAAAAGGCACATTATTCAATATTTTTATTTTTGAAGTGGCTGACTTATTATTTATATTTATTATTTGGCTACAATTCAAGAAAATTGTAGATCTATAAATTCCCACTGACATCTCTTGTTGTCTGTTTTTTTTTTAAATCTCAAGAACAGAGTTAGATAGATGAAAGTTGAGGTTGGATATGGAAAGCTTAAGGGAAGAAGGTTTTGATTAACTAATACGAATATCCAATGCAAACCTGAAGTCGTGTTATTTTAAATAAAAATTTTTTCTGAAAGATGTTGGCTAGATGACTGGTACAACTCTATTGTTAATGGAAAAGTATGATGTGCAGGTGAAGTTATTACTAATTTGAGGTGGAGAGCATATAGTTTAAATAAAATAAATTTAAAATATAATAAAAAATTGCACCTCAGCATTGTGACAATGTCACAATAAATAATTTCTTGTTAAGTTTTTTTATTGAATTAATTACATTAACCAATTAATGAATATCAATTAATATTAAACAAATAACTTGATGTTTACTTTATACATTTTGCTAGCATTTTTATGTTTTAACATTGCAGAATATTAGAACTAGATGACTAGAACAAAATAATTATTATGAACAAAATGCTCATCTAATATATGAAAGTTTGTTGTATAGTTAGTGTGTACTGGTACATTCAAGATAGTAATTACATTTTTAGCTATTTAGTTTTACTACTTATTAATTTATTTTTTATATTTATTAGCTAAGTCTTATTCTTCTGTTAATTAACTCTAGTTGATAATTTAATTTATACATGTAAAGTAATACTTTATAATTGCTCATTTTGTTATTTGTTCTATGCTTATCAGCAATCGAGATGTTATGAAACCAAAAATTACCAACAAATACAGCCAAAAATATGTTTTGTATTCATAATTATTGCTGGATTAAAGGTTGTTTATTCTGTTTATTTTAGTTTTTTGTACAAAACAGGGTAATTTTTTGGAATATTATTTTGAAATTATTTTTTTGACTATATAGAATTAAAGAAGTAATTTGTGCTGCTTTTGAGTAAATTTGTGTAATCTTTTGCATTCATATGTTATAATGTGATTGTCTAAAAATTTATAACAAATATAAACTTATTAAAATTTAAAATTTGATCTTAGAATATTTATACACCTCACATTTTTTTTAAAAATGTTGTTCTGTTTCTTGTGAATTAAATCTTCTGAAGACGAAATTAACTTCTAAAAATGTTAAAGTTTTAATTTTCTTATTTTAGAACAGACATTTTTATATGAAATTGTCTTTACTCTTATAAATTTTAAAATAACAATATATAATTTATTAAGTTTTATTATATTAGTGTATAAGTTTAAGTAAATGCTTTATAAAATTTGGTTTTGATTTATTAGTAATATTTATCTACTGACAATTATTGAAATATGTTTCAGTTTAATGTTGATTTGTTATTCTTCATTTATGTAAGGAAATGACAAAGAATATTTACCATCAAATACTAATTTTTTGTGAAATGTGTAATAAAGTTCAACTAGATGTTTTGAATAAATATTTAATTTCTAATCAATTTTTTTAATAAATCATATTTATATATTGAATAACTAATTTTTTGAATAAAATACTGTGATACTTAAATATTCTTGTTGCTGAAATATACAGTTAAATTCATCTTAACTTTAGACTGAAATATATTTTATTTAATTTTAAATATTAGTTTCAGTAATTATACAACTATTTCTTTTTAAATTTAGTAACATTATCATTGTAATTCACATGTACATTTGTTAAAGTGAATTCAAACGGAAATATTAAAAATAAATTGTTTCTCTNATGACAATGTTACACTTAAAGAATAATTTGCCTAGATCCCAATTGATATTTGTGCATGGGCCTTCATCTATTAAAAGTTAAAATAGATAAAATTAACAAAAAACTCATGCACAAATATCAAATATTTTAATTAATTTAATTATACTTAGGGCTAAAAGCAATTTCTGTAATGACAATGTTACAATAAAAGTTAAATTTGTATTCCAATAAAGATTTCATTAGATATTCTAAAGGTTCACAAGAAATAAATGATTTTTAATATTCTTGACATCCAAATCACAATAGGAGCATTTAGTGTTTTTCATAATGTTTATTCTTTTACCATAATGATAATAAATATATTTTCCTATGCAATTCATATTAGTTTAACAAAACTTTTTTTGATTGCGTGATATCCTCTATTTTGATAAATCTCTGTTTAGCAATACATTTTTTTTTTACTATACTCATAAAATGCAGTTTTTTTTTTCTCTACAATGGTAATGATAAATTAAGATTTAAATTTTTAAATAAATTTTATTTTTTTTAAGTAAATTAAATTTTAATTAATTTTAATTTATTGCTCATATTTGGAATCAAAATGCAATACTTTTTTATTACCACGAATGTTACTCTCAGTGAATAAACATCAATAGAGACAAGACTAGGGTTGCCATATTTAGTGTGTTTTTTTACTTTAACATGTAAATTTTTTGTTTAAAATTGATTATAGGTTGAGAATCTATTGGAAATTCCAAAACCAAAACTTCCAAAATCTGAAAATTTTTGAGTGCCAGCATATGTCACAAATAGAAAATTCCACAACATATTGGGAATGTTTCAGTGTTTGTCCCAGGCTCTTTTTTTTGCCATGTGCTCTGTTCAGATGATTTTTCTGGTTGCCAGCTGATAAACTCTATGATATATATATGTTACTGTGAATGACCAATATCTGGCGAATGTAAACATTCTCCGGTGAATGTCAGCATTCACACAGTTGTTTAGTGTATGTACGAAATATTTGCTAAATATCATTATTTTTCACTTACACCGGCAAATGTCGACATTCAGCGTTCACTGATGGTGAATGTTGAATAAAACTATCTTTATTATGTTAAGACAAAAATGCAACTTTTTAATATGTCAAAACAGGAGAAAGCTTAAGTATCAGCACATGTAAATAAACTGTTAAACCTAAAACAAACAGTACATTTAAAATTTATTAAAGAAAATAATACAATAATAAACTTACACATAAATTATGTGATTAACATTATATAATCTTATTTATTGGAACAACTTAAACTGTTATGGCACTTTGAATTTCACAAGAGTCCCTTGCTTTTACAACTGCATTTATTCGTGGAACACTTCTCTTTGCAATGGTTAAAAGCAAGGGACTCTTGTCCCTTGCTTTTACAACTGCATTTATTCGTGGAACACTTCTTTTTGCAATGGCAGCATGTATAGCCTTGCCCTCCACTTTTCGAATTAGCTACAGCTACTTCTCTCAGCGACATTTCTTGAGAAAAATCTGATCTATGGAAAGTAATTTTTCTTTACAAATTACGAACTGATTATGGGTGTAAAGCTGCTTGAGGGTAACATTTTTGTTTGCTAATTTATAAAAGTCGGAGTCTTCTATTCCAACAGCAACCACCAACACATTTCAGGCATCTGTACAGCCTCGGTCGACATTAGGGACTTGTATTGATATGATATCATCAATTTCAGCAGAAGGAAACGGCGTAGAATTTAGCAGTATATTGTTGCCTCCCTGTCGACATAGGCTTCTCGGGTGTCGTTTCGACCTCCACCAAAGCTTATCTGTGCTTGTCGACATACACCTGTGATTGTTCAAATGTATAATAATATAACCAAATATTCGGTCTTTCACCAACATATATTGTATGTGTCGACATTCACCGGAGAATATTGACATTCTCGAATTATATTCTTTCACAGTAACATATACATATATATACACACATATACACAAGTTTTGACTTTTTCATATTTCTGGATTATAGTTTGATCTTATTTTTTAACATGCTTATGAAAATACATTCAAAGTTTAAATAAAAACATTCTTTTGAACAGATAAATTAACACCTCTGTGTGAATACATTTAAAAGTTATTTTAATATGTTTATGTAAATATCTTTTAAAAATATTTTCACACTTCTACAGTAGGTAATTTTAAAAAATTATTCGCATATAAGTTTAAAATTTTTTTGTTTTATGGAAAATTGATGACAATTCTTAAATAAAGTGACATATGAAAATTAGTAAAATCAGACTAATGTAGATTGACTCCAATGAGATGAAAGTGTAGAAATATTCCAAATTCTGAAACATTTGTGATTTTAAGCATTTTGAATAAAGGATATTTAACCTTTATCGTGGTTTTTGGGCTGTTTAACTGAAATATTAGATTTTTGAGCAAAATCTTTTGATAACACTGAATAATAAGAGAAACCAGTTTTAACTATTTCTAGAACAGTTTAGTTCTTTATTGACACTTACGGCTTGAATCTATGATTTATAGTTTTTCAAGAAATTATAAATTAAATTTATAGTAAACCTGTATGTTGAAATTGAAATTTCCCAGAACCTGATCTTGCTATGTAAAAGTAATTGTAATAAAGCCTCTGTTAATTTTAGAATTAGTGTAATTTGCAACAGTAAAACCTCTTTATATATTTTCTGGAGGAATTTTGTAATATTAAACTTGCCTAACATAACAAAAATCAATTAGAAAGTGCACAGGAGTGTCTTAGTGTTGCAAATTTACATGTAATAAAATAATTATATTTTAGAATTAGTTTAGTTGTACTTATTTTATTTTTGCCTAGGAAGATTCAGGTTTTGACTGAGTTTGGATTTTGATATTTATTACATATTGTAACAATAATATGCAATAAAATCACTCAAATTTTGTATTAGAGGGGACTAATAATACTACATGTTTTTTGTTTTAACACTGTTGTTAGACAATCTATTTATAGTCCACTGAAGTTAGATGAGGAAGGGGATATTTTAAAAAAGTTTTCACTGTAACAATAAATCTTTCTATAACAATATTTTTTGTTGTTTCACTAAATATCACTATAGAGGGATTTGACTGTATATTATATGCAATGTCCTATAATAACATTTATGATATGGCATGTCAACTGTATATATTACTGCTTATAAAACACCTGTTTATTAGCACCATTATTGATTATTTGGTGATCAGGAAGCAATGTTTTTAGCCTTAGATGTTAGTTATTATTTATATATAGGGGTATTTTGAGTTGACATTTTAATGCATTATAATTTTTCTCATTTAAAATAGTTGGAAATAGGCTTCCAGTTAACATTGCCTTGCAAAATGTCTGATTTTCAGGAACAGAGTACTGATATTAAAAGAGGATATTTTATTTTATGTATTTATTGTTAGCAATTTCTATAAACGTGTGAAATTTCATTAATATTTATAGATTGTTATTTCTTTAGGGTAGTGGTAAATTTGCCGGAAAGAGAAGAGCAAAAATTGCAGAATTTCATCGGAAGAGGGGTCCAAAACCAAAACTTAAGATATTGAATATGCCTGGAACTTTATCTTTTCCAGTAAGATATTTGATAAAATATTATACTTTTGTTTTTGATAATTATTTGGTAACAATAATTTTAGAAATTTATTAACTAGATAAAATACAATATAGCCTTTTTAAGCATGTTATAAGAAATATTGTCAAATGACCACCAAATTATTTATTGGACTATATTAAGGTTAATTTAATATTAAGGTTAATTATTATATATAAAGCAGTTTGACTAAAGGTAGGCAGTTTGGCCACCATCACATGATACATTTAATAATTAGAAAATAAATCAATTTTTAATTAAAATTTAGAATATTCTGGGAGATAAGATTGGCCTGGAGCAGCTCTCGAATTCATAATCCTGCTTACTGGGTAGATTATTGTCATTTATGCTACCTGGATCTTTATCTGCTCTTTGCTTCCAGATCTATTATATTAACTAATTAATTAATTTAGATGCACCCATACTGGTCACTCATGTCACTGTACTGACTGGCAAATTTATGCTCCAAAGTCAGTAGCTAATTAACTGCAGTAATAAATGGAAAACTGAAAATCATGACCACAAAACTGCCAAAAAATTCAATTTGTTACATTATTTATGACAATGAATTTTATTTTCTGATGAAAAATTCAACAGAAACTTCTTTCTATAAATAAATAATGTTTTCAGAAATAAAATGTAAGAACCAGAAAAAGTTTTAGAAATGATTATGCCTGCATATTGATCAACATTAAAAGTCAGAATTTTGTTTTGTGCATGCAATTTTGTTCTGGATGTCAAAACATACTTGACTGAATATTCAAAACATTTATTGACAAAAACTATTGAAATGGTCATTATAGCATCTGACTTGATGGCACATCATGTTACTGTGCAGCCATTGTCACCATGAAAATTAAAAATATGGGAATTAATTATGTAAAGAAAGGAGAAAATTCACTTGATGTGCTTCAATTATGGCTTTTAGAAAGGTTAAATTTTTTTGTTTCAGAAAAGTGCAAAGGTGTTGTCTGAAATAAAATTTTTCAAAATTGATGGGAATTAAAGCCAACTTCCATGCTCAAAACTTGGTTTGGAAAAAAAACTTAGTGAGTTTGACAGAAATTATTTTTGTAAACTTTTCACTAAGAAACATAAAATCTGCTGCCACTACTTACAGATTATTCTCTGTTATGTTTGGAGTTATGCTTATTTGTTTCTCATGTATGGATTTTTAGTGGAACTCCCTTACAGTGATGTTTAAACAAAACAAACTGCTTATGTGAAGTTGAGGAAGAATAAGAATGCTAATGTTTTCAGCTAATTAGTCATCTTTAGGCATGTAAAGTTTTAAATTTTAAACTTCAACTGAATATTGTCATAAGTATATTAAACAACCCAAAGCCCTATACACTCATACATACATACATGTATATATACATATATATACGTATATATATATGTATACGTACACGTGTATGTATGTATACGTGCATATATATATATATATATATATGCATACATATATTGGCAGTTTTGTTTTCAATCTTTGATGGTCCACAAAACAAAGACAAGTATTAATAACAAAATGAATTTATTACCAAAAGTTAGGTACAAACATGATTACTTTTCTACATATAATCACCATGAAGTTTGAGGCATTTGTCATATCTGTGGACAAGCTTTTCCATCCCCTCTTTATAGAATGACTTTAGATGTTACCACCAGTGACTTTAGATGGGCCCTAATGTTGTTTTAAAGATCATCATTAGTCTCGAACCTTTGCCCTCCTTGCCACAATACAACCCCTCAGTTCAGGAAAGAGGTGGAAGTTGCTAGACACTAAATCGGGGCTATACGCAGGGTGTTTAAAGTTTCAAGCTGGGTGGAAGTCTGAAAAGTGGAAGTTTTCACACCTTTAATGTGCGAAGACTTCCATTTCTTTCCTGAACTGAAAACCTGAAAATAACAATATTCAGATACATAGCATGTTTGTCTATGTATCTGAATATTGTTATTTTATGAATGGGGTCACATGGTATAAATTCATTAGTAACTCTAATAATTAATATTATGAACATAAAGAAAAAATAAAAATGAGAAAGCCAGGATTATTAAGATGTTGGTAAAATCAAAATAAAACTCAAAGTATCAAAACCAGATAACACAGGTTCACAATGGTAGCCATCTTCATGCTTGTGGTAGTGACTTATTGTTATGTATGTTAATTTTTTTGTCTGTTAAGATATTTTTCTGCTATATGTCCTTTTTAAAAAAATAGAAATATTATGGGATATAGCAGAGGGTAATGTAAGCATTTTTTATAAAAATATCTTATATTTAACAGGGCACGCTACTTGATACAAAAGATTCTAAACAAGATGATGAACCTACAGTTGATAATAAAATGATTCTCTGTTCCTCTTCTGATGAATTTGTTTTATCTCAAGTAAGTATTCATTAATAATTTAATAGTGAAATTTAGAACACTTTTATTTTCTATATTTTAATTTTTTCTTGATTCAGATCAAAAAAATTAATTAGTTCATTGGTTTGAAGTAGAATGGATTGATTAATTGCAATTTTTCAACATTAATTTGAATACATACTGTAAAAATTTTTGTTAACTCAGTATAATAAATTGTTGACTTTATACTTGTTATAACACCTATAATAAATAAATAAATATTTTTCATTAAATAATTTAAGGAACAATTTAGCTTTAGTTTTTAACTTCTTTAGTTAAAAACAATACATCTCAGGTTATATATCTTTTAATAATGGAAAATGTGTATTAAAATTTATATTTATATTATTTAATTATTTTGAAATAAAATATTTTTATTAAATAATGATTATTTCAGGATTTGTGTGTTATGTGTGGAAGTTATGGACGTGGTGATGAAGGTCGAGTTATTGCATGTTCTCAGTGTGGGCAATGCTATCATCCTTACTGTGTTAGTGTTAAAGTAAGTTGGTTGGATTTTAACATTTTAAATGTTTCTTTTTTTCTTAAAATGCTACTTACTGGTTTTGATGCAAATTTTTCTTTGAAAATTATTCAATATTATTTTAACTTATATATGTTACTGTGAAAGACTGAAATTAGAGAATGTCGATATTCTTCGGTGAATGTCGATATATACAAAATACGTCGGTGAAAGACTGAATGTTTGGTTATATTGTTATATATTCGAACAATCGCCGGTGTATGTCGATAAGCACAGATAAGCTTTGGTGGAGGTCGAAACAACACCTGAGAAGCCAATGTCAACAGAGAGGCGACAGTTTGTTGCCAAATCCTTTGTGGAGATAGGACAAGGTTGTACAGTACCTCTTTTCCTGGCAACAGTTTGGTGGAAACCGCCCACTTTGTCACCAGATGGCGTTTTTGTTCTTTTAATCCCGTGAGGCGGGGATAGGTTTGTCAGGTAGAGTGGCGGAGGATGAGAGGGGTCGTCGGTCAGGCGTTGGTGATATTCGAATAAAAGACACTATTAACAAACCAGTTTGTAATTTGTAAAGAAAAGTTACTTTCCATACATGAGATTTCTTCTTAAGCAATATCGCTGAGAGAAGCAGCTGCAGCTAATTCAAAAAGTGGAGGGCAAGGCTATACACGCTGTCATTGCAAAAAGAAGTGTTCCACGAATAAATGCAGTTGTAAAAGCAAGGGACTCTTGTGCAATTCAATGTGCCATAACAGTTTAAGTTGTTGCAATAAATAAGATTGTATAACTTTTTAATAAAAAATTAAAAAAATCTGGAAACGAGTCCAATTTTGCTTGCCTGTTTTGCATATTTGTGCAGAGGCATAGCCTCTAAAGAAAGGTTGTCTCTGCAATGAAAATATTGATAGTTGTTCCTGATGATTGGACATGGCAAGCAAAATTGGACTTGTATCCAGATGTATTTTATTTTTTATTAAATTGTAATTCTGCCAGCCCTTTTCTACAAAGATTGTATAACATTAATCACATAATTTATGTGTAAGTTTATTATTGTATTATTTTCTTTAATGATTTAGAATGTGCTGTTACTTAAGCTTTCTCCTGTTTTGACATATTAAAAAGTTGCATTTTTGTCTTAACATAATAAAAATATTTTTATTCAACATTCACCATCAG